GCATTGTTAAACGCCATCTAGCGACGAATGGCGGTACTTGGTAGTCCAAAACATACTTTTTTATTTTGATTTATAGTACATTGGTTTTAAAGTTGCATATCGTATGATATTTTTTTTGCATTTCGTTTACGCCCATTTTTTTTCTAACCAATCGTAATTTCCGATTTATAGTATGAGTAAATTATAAATGTATTAGTTTGGCGACACCGGTTCTGGCAGAAATATTGTTTCAAGCTACTTCCATTGTATTCTATATTCCGTGCATATCACTATATGCAATGTCATGTTAAACACAGCATTGTTCTTATTGTGGATATATAAGTAACGATTCCATGCATACAAGATTACCAATTTCATTAAAATTGGATGTGTTCAATTTAAATTTAAAGGGCCTGTTATAATATAATATAATAATGGCATGTGAAAATGATGCGATTTTGAATACCATAAGTTCAAATGTAAATTATTGAGTTCTGCTCTATCACCTACTAATTGAATTTCAAATTTTACCTAGATTTGGCATGAGGAACATGATATTTAAACTGTTTAATGCCAGTGACGCCAACTCTCCCTTTCGCACAGGAAAATAAATGCATAAATACTCATCGAATCACAAAGGCACCCACAGTAGGGCCCGGTAGAATGGTGTCTGTACATATACATATGTGGAACTTTTTATGTCTGCTGCAAGGGGGAGTTGGAGCTTCGCCGGAAGCAGCCATGCCACTCCATCGACATGTAGCTCATATCTATGGTGTGCCGGAAGTTGCGTACATTGTCTGCAGATTGCAGCAGTACTTAATAGTCGAGGTTCTATACTATGTTGTCTATGATTGCTGACTCATTCATTTGATATTATTCTTATAAAATGCTATGTAGAATTATGTAACTGTTAATACTATTAGAGTTGTTTATTTGACTATAACATGTTCTGTTTGTTACATTCAAATCTGACCTAATTTTACATTTCATGTTACAATGCCATCCATTCCCATTTCCAACCCTATTGAAATATTGTACTTACTCAAATTAATACTCTGGTTTAAACATAAAGAACCGTTTATTGCAAATTCAGTCTTCCATTTCCTAATTTCCTAGCGATGGAATAGCTAAGCGTGGCCAAGGCACGGATATTAATTAATTGAAAACGCAATAAGTGTGGGTCGTCGCGTCATCGTAGTTATAGCTGAAGCCGGCGCGATCGGGTTGCACCCGCGCCAGTATTGCTTACATCGGATCTGCCCGCATTTGATACCCAATGCTTTGGCGCAAGTTACGGAAATACCGACATTACAAAATGTTTTATTAACTTATTTTGTTTCATCGAAAGACGGTTTTCACTTTTAACTTAGGTTTATAGCGTGGCAAAATAAATGGGTTTTATTTCTTTCCTTCTTTCTTTCCTTCTTTCTTTCCTTCTTTCTTTCCTTCTTTCCTTCTTTCTTTCTTTCTTTCTTTCTTTCTTTCTTTCCTTTCTTTCCTTTCTTTCTTTCTTTCTTTAAACCCAGGTTCCAACAAAACAGTCGTTTTAACCGCTTTAATGCACCGATATGAGACACAATAGAAAATACACTGTGTCTCGCGTGAATCCACGTTTAGGCACACGACGGGTTAAAGGAGCCGTTCCGGCTTTTTATCAGCTTGCTGGTAGCTGACAGATATCAGTGCTAGTTATAATTATATTAAACTTTAGTTTTTCAATCGCTATCGCTTATGAATGAAGACCTACCACCTCTAGACACAGTCTATGAATGTCGGCCGCTGCTCGCCCGTCCAAACAGCATTGTCTCGTGTTTTGAATACCTCGTGTACTATGCTATCCGGCCGCGCTGCCCGCTCTGTCTGCAGTGTCCGGTCACTGTGCGAATTCCCTGGTAATGCATACTACTCGCTTCCTGTTATTGTAACGAGATACCCACTGACCAGTGACACCCAGTCATAGCTGTTCATACTCATATCCTACATTACTTTTGAGAATTTGTTGCTTTTTGTAATGAACTCTGTTAGTCTAGTCTCTTAAAATATGAAAGAATAAACGTGTTTCACTTTAATGATTTCTTTATGTTTGTAAACGACCATTTTCGTTTGTAGTGCGTCAGTCATAAGTCGGCACTGAGTTTTCAGATTCAACTGTTTAATTCTTGACAAGCACAACCTTATGTGGTAGTAGAAGACATGTTAGTTTATAATTGGTATACCGGCCATTATTGCAGAAAGTTTTGGGCATTACATTTGAATAATAGTAGAGTAGTAGTGCGGTGTAAGGCGCGGCAAGCATGGCGCATTGCGGGCCCGATACGGTGTAATTGGAGGACGGGCGGCTCTTTATACAGAGCAGTTACAGTAGTGGGCCAAGAAATGAAAAGATATTTTTATGACCGCACTCAAACTGCCATTACGGGAAATACTAGGGTAATTTCATTGTGACTTGTGTAAGCAGTACCATCATATTGGACATTAACGTGTTTCAAAACTCAAAATACTGTGAATTCACTCTCTATTCTATCCCATTTATGTAGTGCGCTTGCACTTGCAACCACAATGTTCCTGTAAAATTATGCCTAGTTTATGCCAGAACGGATACCCCATGTTAATGACTCCATGGTCAACTTTTCGTTACAAAAAGCTGGTAAAGATAACATCCTGCTTTTTAATGTTGGCAATAAAACCGTGTGATCTAGGTTTGTCTTGGCTTTTTGTAGCACAACGGATGACGGAAATGTTGAAGTGATCCGCCCTCTCCAGTGTGGAGTGGCTGCAGACAGCCGTGGGACATTGTTAACGAGTCGAGTATACTGTATCTGTATACATAGACATAACATACACGGTTTGACATGCCAAGAAAAATGGGCATGAAACGTCATAAAGTTACGCTTTTGTTCCATGAAAGAATGCATAAACTTATCGCGTCTACTGGATAGTTTTTCTAGAATAATTATACTTTTAGTTTCCATCACGTCACAGAAACGTAGTCAAGAGCTATAGCTTCGTTTTTTTCACACTGCAGTAATAGAGTGTGAGATCCTGGCTCTCTCCAGTCTTCGGAAGTCTTTAATTAATTGCCTCTAGCATAAACCGAACACCTTAGTTTAATTACACGAGTGCCTGTTCTAATGAAAGCTGCGCTTGCTGGTTATTTAACTTTATTAAGAGCTACTTCGTAATTAATTAGTTCATTGTGTGCACTACAAGATCTAATTTACTTCTTTTTTTTGAAGTCAACCTGCGAACCACTAACATTATCAAGCTCTAAATAATAAATGTAATTTACTATATGCTTGAAGACAACTTTCTGGAACAATGCTGGCTTTCTTTGCTGATTTATTGTAAAAAGTCAAGGATAAAATTCTGCGCATATTCAATGTGAATGCTTATCACATTGTAGCAATAAATTGTCCACATCCGAAACCACATTAAACACACAACATGATGGTAGGAGCGGGTAACCGTGTCGAATGGAGTATGATTGGCGAGCGATTGCCGTGACCGCACACAATCGTATTCAATAACATTCTGCGACTGCGTACATTTCTCTCTTACACCGCACTTTGCAGTGATGTCGGGCAAGTTCAACACGATACATAACAATCAAAATATAAGTAAAAACTTGCCTAGTGGCACACGTGTGTGCGCGAGGTGAACCTCCCTGCCAATCACAATGCACCATTTCAAGGACGTTCTTATGTTGCACTTACATGCTGCCTGCTGGTCTGTGCGTGTGTAATGTTTTGAATGCGACGTGTCAACAGTGCAGTTGTAATAGGATCACCTTGTACCTGTAACTTGGCGGACCACGCCGGGGAATGGAGATAGCCCATGATAGTGTGAGTTTATTTATCTCTGTCCTGACGTCATCGCCTCTATATCTATGTAGCTTGAACATTAATTGGCAGTGTTTGCCTACTTAGTGGCATTATTCTTAATGAAACATAATTAAGTGATAAATTGATTCGTTTGCGTAAATTTATGTAGTGGGGTGCTGTTATCTATGTACTTATGTAGTAAACGATTGTCTTGAGAAAATGAACAATATGTCTGTATGAACTTGTATTGGGTTCAACCCTGTGATGATGAAATTACAATTTTCAAAAGTGACTAATGTTGCCCTGAACTTCACAATATATTTCTACGTCCAACCGGGACGTACTCAGGGTTCATTAGTACTAGTACTAGTAATGACTTGTAACATTGTTACAGTTCTACCTTTGTCACAAAAACGTTATAAAATTAAAATAAACAGTCGTTGCAGTTTTAATTTTTCGTCTTTATCAATAAATCTTGTGGATACAAGTACAAAATAGGATTGGCAATAAAATTTTTTGTATCTTTGTATCCATTGCTCTGTTTAGCTTACTGCATAACTAAGTTCCACTGTGTGTTTACCTCATATGGTGAAGTTTTCTCTCGCAAATATGAAAGTGTACCTACTTGTTTGACATAAAGCGTTTTGTATAAGATGTTTAGTAATAACAGAATTGTAGTACAGGCGAGGCAGCAGGTGCTGTATCGAATATATCGAAATCGTTCCGTGCACGTAATTTTATTCCCATTTCTCTGAGCGCTTCACGGCTCGATTCGCCTATAAATTCACATCGCGTATCTTAAACATAAAAGGATTTTATGGCTTTGAGTGACGCAATAATTGTATTTTTTACATGCGTCTCTTATTTGCGTCGCAGGACGTGTACTAGTGCGCGTACATTTCCAAGCGTGTGTGTAAATGTACGGTCTTATAAAACTGTTTGAAGCTGCCTGCTCCTACCCTGCAGCATATGGAACCTACACACTTCATGTTATGAACAATTACGGGAGAATTACACACTCGGAACCCCATGTAGAAGTTGAGATAATTGTTGTTAGGTAACAGCTTGAAACTATAATAAAAAGTAAATTAGTATTGTTTAGATGCCAATCATAAACTTTTTATTATTGTTGAGAGTGTTATTTATTAGTTGTCAGTAGTCAATCAATATTAACGAGGTTGTAATATTGTATTGCAGAGACATCAGTACAGTGCGAGGAGAGTAGTCGGTGTGTCGCGACCAGGAGACCGGCCCGCAGCCGTCGAGCGTGCATGACGCATACACCTAGATATACTGCCCGCAGGTAACATCACCTATTCATTAGGTGTTTCATGCCCCGGGATACGACCATACAACAACTTCAACCCGTGCCCGTCTAAACAATTTTCAAGCAAATAACAGTTAATGCGGGAATAAACGTTCGGAAAGTTGGAATGAACAAGTTCATTACTTTTTAAGCCCTCTTAATGAGCGACGGTATTTTCTTTTCATTCCGATGTAGCTGTAGATCCTGTAGGCATTGGTTATAAACTTGGAGGAAGAAGATTAAAATCAATAATGTCTCTCTCAATTTACTCAATGTTTCTTTGTCAACTCGTTACTAAGTTTTCCATTTAAACTTTGTAAAATTAAGAAAATATCTTTATCTTGAAATCAGAGCTTTATACCGAAAGTTTTGTCAAACTCGATCGAAATCCGATGAAAGTAAATATTTCACAAAGTTTGAGGCTTGGAGAGGAATTGAAGGAAATTATTTCTAGAAGACTTTTTAATACAGTTCTCAGAAGTTCTATTAGCCCAATTTTGGATTCTCTCTTTGAAGTTTACAACAAAATTAGAATCTTCCAAGAGTTCTAAGAATGACGAGCTATTTTCTTTCTATACTACATATTTCAGATTACTACTTATATTTGAAAACAAGATCGGAATATAAGTTGTGATCTTTTGTAACTTGAACGTCATAATACACATAAGTACACACTATGTTCTTGCACGCCTTATGTTTTTCTAAGAAGGAAAGTTTTACTTATTATGTAACGACAATGATTTGTTATGGACGGGATCGTCCCTTTTCCATGCTCCCGGACATATGACTCTCCAACAAGTCACTGAGCCGACAACTCCTTCAAAATGTTGGTAATGTGTGTTAGCTAGCAGTGTTAGTAGCGTATGACGGGCGCTCTGTTTGCAGACCATCAAAATTTTGCAGTAACAGGCACCGGAAGCTGCAGCCGCTGCGGCAGACGTGACTGGCGCGCCGCGCGGGAGCGCCGCCCCGCCGCCCCGCCGCCCGGCCGCATGCCGCCCCGCTGACGCCGCCAGCACGCAGCCACTCGCACCTCGCTCACACACACGCCATAGCCGCCGCTTTATTTTAACCCGGTCAGTACATACACCTATGTATTACCATCTTCCTCGAAACCAGCTTCTACAGGAGCCATCGACCCAGAAAGCATCAAAACTAAAGCACTGCGCCTAAAGAACATAAGTCTTGAATCGTGGAACGAGACTAATGAAAACATTAAAATAATATTTGCGGGGCTCAGATTCCAGATGAGTCCCGACGTAGTACAAAACAAGTCGAGCATCCTCAAACAATTTCGTGAGCTTATAGCTTATAGCAATAGTGTTTTGCCATTGTAAAAAGTTTTAAGAGAAGAAATCATCTTAGTCATACAACAGAGCTGTATTGAGTTATCATTATAACTTCCAGAAGACATCGCGCAGATCATTCTCCCGGAGTAGCACGTGGCTGTAGCCAGCCGTCACCATGGGGTCGGTGAACGTCAACCGGAATGTGGCGGATGCCTTCTACCGGTACAAGATGCCTCGCATCTGTGCCAAGGTCGAGGGCAAGGGCAACGGTATCAAGACCGTCATCGTCAACATGCCTGAAGTAGCTAAGGCACTCGGAAGACCTGCCACTTGTAAGTACAAACAATACTTGCTTCTCTTCAAAACTCAGAACCCCTTAACATTCTGTAATAACATTATGTTTGTGCTGTTACAGATCCAACAAAGTACTTCGGTTGCGAACTGGGTGCGCAGACTCAGTTCGATTTTAAGAACGAACGATTCATCGTTAATGGCAGCCACGACTCCGCCAAGCTGCAAGATTTACTAGACGGGTAAATGATCTTACCATTAACAGTCCATCAAGAGGTAACAGTTCAGTGCTCAGGGTGTAAAATGTAATTGTTACATACAGGTTCATCCGTAAATTCGTACTGTGCCCTGAGTGTGACAACCCGGAGACGGAGCTGATCGTGTCGACGAAGCGTAACACTATCTCGCAGGGCTGCAAGGCCTGCGGGTACCATGGCACGCTCGACTTCAACCACAAACTCAACACCTTCATACTCAAGAACCCGCCCGCACTAGACCCCAGCATGCAGGTATACCAGCAGGTACTAACATTACTGCTGGACACGACCTCACCTCTCCTCATCCACACGTGTCCGAGCCCATTAAATATACATTTAACATTTAATCGGTTTAGGACCTTCCTTGAATCCCTATTGTTTACCAAACCCGTGCAATATGTGCAGTGAGTGAGTACAATGTCGTGTTGCAGGGCTCGTCGCTGACGGAAGGCAACCGCGGCAAGCGATCCAAGCGCTCGGGGCCTGGCGCGGCCAATGGGAACCATGACGGACATGACGACGCCAAGAACGTATGTATACCACACTTGCGTACCTATACATGACGTAAAATAAAAAAGTAATATTGATATTTTTATGTTTTCAAATGCAGCAAGAGAATGAGGCCCCCGTGACTCCTACAACACCCAACCCGAAGACCAGCAAAAAGGAGAAGGAGAAGGAAGCTGCGGATGATGATGACGACGGTTGCTGGACTGTCGACGTTAGCGAGGCTGCCGTACGCGCGCGTATGCAAGGTGACATACAACATACATACAAGTATAGCTATAACTTATTGTTTAATGTTTTTCATGTCTTTTATTGCGATATGATCGTGTTACAGACTTGACTGAGGGTGCTAAGAGCATGACGGTGTCTGAGGACAGTGAGAAGAACGAGAAACAGCGCATGGATCTATTCTACGCGTATCTAAAGCAGCGAGCTGCCTCGGGAGATGTGGACTCGAACCGCGCCATCACGGAGATCTTACACGAGGCTGAGCGGTGAGTTATTTTGTGTTTAAAGAGGAAACTCTAGATATCATTTTAGATCGAATCGCACCATAAATAAAAACAAAATGGCATTAACTTCCAAAAAATGTTACAGCCAATTTTCGGTTAGTGACTAAAGGGAACTCTACATATCAGTTTTGGATCCAATCAGACCATAAAATTGTATACAATTTCTATCAGTTTCATGGTCAGTAACTAAAGGGAACCCTAGATAGATTAGGGCATCATCACTCTTCGGTATCTACAGACATAAATGCAGTGCTGGATTTACATTAAGAGCGTAGGCCACTTTTCCGCGGCCCCCGTGTACCTAAAATAATAAGTTCTTATTTGTAATTTACTGCATTTAGAATGCCTTAAACTTCAATAAACTAATTAATTAGTCAGAAATGAATGAATGAATGAATGAATGAATGAAAAATCATCTACAGGGTGACTTGTAGTAACTCGACGTATTCCTCTCGGGAGGTAATGGATACGTCTAATTTCCTATTTTCGAGAGTTTTATAAATAATTTAATGTATTTAAGTAGCTAATAAATCAAGAAAGTTTTTCTAATAGTTTGTATGCTTAGTGTAATACATATTTTTTTTTAATAAATGCAGTTTTCTATTGACTAAATTGGTGACTCAAAAGAAGATAAGGATTTACGTGATATTTAAACGAATAATATTTCAGTTAGTATTAGTTTATTTATTTATTTATTTATTTACTAGCTATTACCCGCGACTTCGTCCGCGTGAAATAGCGACTTCTGTATAAATTGGGTTTTTAAATTAGTCTTTGTCAAGGTATATTCTACGGCTGTACAACTGGAACAAATATCATCACAATCGATTCAGTACCTATAGTCAGAATTTTAATTAGATTCCAGATTTGACAATAGCTACTGTCATTTTGTGAAATAATGATACCACATATAATAGTGTAGTGATGAACACAAAAATCGATAAACAATCAGTGTGTGTGTTTTATAATAAATGTTACAGAAAGTGACAGGATAGCGACAGCGATGACGGCGACAATTTATAAAATAACTTATTACCATAATAAATCTATTTGTTTTATTTGTCATGTTCCTTCATGATTACATTTTTTCATTTATTTCACACAGTTATAAAAGAAAAGTCTCAGATCGTTAATTAATCGTCATAACTAAATTATCGGTTCAGAAATATTTAATTTCCTGATATATTTAGTTTACGAGACTAAAATTATAAACGAGAAAAATCGATCCAGAAATTTTGCATTTCCATATCGAATAATTTCGCAACGTCACTATTTAGTACTTGTCATAACGTTGCAACACTGAAATTGTCAAATCTGGAATCGAATTAAAATTCCGAGTATA